AGAAAGTTCAAGGATGGAAATACTGACCCGAACCTATTTAGCTTTATGGCTCAGCACCAAAACGGATATAATCTCAAACCTGGAAAATACAAGCTCGCTAAGGGATATGATTTAATAGCATATCATCCAAATGACATGGATGAATTTACTCCGAGATATTTGATGTCAGAGCTAAATGACAATTCAACTTTCGTCATGAAACGCGTAAAAAATAGAGACGGAACGAAAGAACAAAAGCTTATGAATGCGGATGACGTAGATAGGGAAATTGTTGAAAACGGTCTCGGAATATATGAAATGCCAGCAGATGAGGTACAAGAAACTCCACAGGAAGAAGTTCAGATACAACCAGACATGGAAGAAATAGTTCCGCAACAACAGCTAGAAGAGCCTGAAGGAAACGAACAAGTCCTTCCTTTGGAAACTAACTTCACAGAACTAGATGAAGATTTGGAACAGCCGAAAAATCTTGACCCTCAACAAGAGTATGCGGAGAATATGGAATATTTCCAAGAGTCTAAAAAAAATTCGGCTGACATAGTAGAAGAATATCGAAAAATGTTTGCCGACATACAAAAGACTCCAACATCAGATGAAAATATCCAGCATAGAATGGAAGAACTGAAAAAAAATGTACACAAATACAACAACCCTTTTTACTTACGAGCATTTAACGTTCAATCTTCGGATGAACTCGGTGAAAATAAAAGGTTAAATTTCAAGAAAACATATAGAAATGAAACATTGTTTAAAGTTCATTCAGAACCTAACCAAGATGGAAACAAACCTACTTTTGTTTCTGCAGACGATGGAACTACAATGAGATGGGGTCATAAAGCTAATCCGGATAGGTGGTTCATAAACTTACAACCACAATTCCAAGAAGTTGTAGACGCAATGGAAGTCAATGGTGAACCAGATATAGCTGGTATTTTCAGCGCGGCTTTAATGCCATTGAAAGATATGAAAGATGCAGATATTTTGGACCAGTATGAAATGAACATGGCTGATGGAAATATAACACCTGACGTTCTAGAACATTTATCTCAAAGAACTACACAGAACCATAAAGATGGTATATTTGGTGAAGAGTTTAGAAAGAAAGTTAGGGAGAGAGAAGGAAGAGAACCTATTGTACATGACCTTGCAAACGAAAGTTTACAAAATGTCATAAAAACTTACTTTGCAGACGATGAATCGAGAAGGGATGAATATTTAAGAAAACTCAAATGGACAGTACCAAATGAAATGTTAGTATTGAAAAACATGTTCCTTGACAAAATAAAACCAACTACAGAAATAAACGACGCAAGACTGAAAGATTGGGTAAAAGCTTTCCCATTCACAAAAGATATAGTTGGTAACATGGAAAGAAAACCAGAATGGCTACAAAAACATATATTTGGAAACGAGCTTATTCCATATGGACAGGCACTGTTTGAAGCGCTTGAACCGGAAACTCAGGAAAGAGTCATGCAAACAATACGCGAAGACTCAAATACAGACTATGACAAACTCTTTCTAGGATATAGGTTACCTGAGATGGGCGACCAGAGCCAAAAGGCAAAAAGGACATGGGAAATTTGCAACATACTAGATGAACATAATGCAAAGATGCAACAACTTCAAGCAGAGGGCAATGAAGGAAAAAGAAGAGTTAAAAACTCAGTCAGGAAGAAAGTAAAGCTTGGTCGGAGTGGGTTCTATTATGACATATAAATCCAACTATTCTATATTTTTACTCATATGAAATGTACGCCGCTCAGAATATAACGCCAACAGTTTTGGATGCCATGAATGGAAATGTTTCCGAATGGTATAACGAATGCGACAATGCCATTAGAAGGTCAGAAATAGTTCCTGGAACTTACGAATATACAACTGCTGTTTCTTATGGAAACGTAGGTGAGTTTGGAGAAGGTTCTTCAACAACAGTAGATATTGCTTGCGACAGGTTTCATATAATTTCTATTGACAACTCTTTCTTATACGTGGAACAAGACATTGAAATAAAACCTTCTGCCAAGTTGTCTGACAAGAAAGGTTGCAATGGAATTTTCTATGTCGGATACCAATATGCTCCAGAAGTTTTCATGGGATATAAGATATATTCTAACTCTGACTTAGTTCAAACAGTAACATGGGCAAACTATGAATGGTTCGCTTTGAGAAACTCAGTACAACCACAAGCTAGAGAACAAACAGACCAGTATGCCACCATTGAGAAAATAAGAAGACTTGACCCTAACGTTCCAGGAGTTTATGTTGACCTTTCTGGACAAACTGCAGCAGCAGTAACCAAAGTAAAACTGAAACTTAGAGTTCCTTTGTCATCTTTCCTCATCTTCAGGTTTTTAAGATACTTGCCAAACTGGGCAGGAAAAATTTCTATTAGGGTTGTTAAAAATATCAAAAATTAGCGTTTTGAAGACACCATGGTGTCTTATAATTTTCCCTTCCTTATTGGCGTGTAGAAATAAATGCGCCAATAGATTGAAGAAGAAGAATTGTTTTTCTCTTAATGAACTTTAATCCTTTTGATATAAGAATATTAAAAACATTAATATAATTTCGATTTCGGAAATTAAATTTCCAAATTTTTTGTCGCTTTCGGAAATAACAGGATCCCGCATCCAACACGCAACAACAAAACACAAAACACACTTTTTGGTTCTTTCATCGTTTTAATCGTAATTTATGTAATACATGATTTGGATAAATTTTACAAAAATAGAACCTATATTATATTCTTTTCAAAGATTAAAAAAAAAAAAAAAAAAAAAAAAAAAAAAAAAAAAAAAAAAAAAAAGGGAGTGGGGCTTCCAGGCACTTCGTGCCTTCTAGCCCTAAGAATTTTTCCCAAGACCCAAGAGGAGGACCGAACCCCAGCCGACCAGCCGTTGATTTTTTTGTCAAGACTTCTTCGTATATGTTTTGTCAAGACTTCTTCGTAAATGTTTTGTCAAGACTTCTTCGTAAATGTTTTGTCAAGACTTCTTCGTAATGAGCGTAAATGACCCAAAAATAATGTTTATGTTAGAATGTTAGATCTAACACGTTTTCTAACATGTTTCTAACATCGTAGAAAACTCATGAATTTCTTCGTAAATGTTTTGTCAAGACTTCTTCATCGTAAATGTTTTTTACTTCACTTAAAATGCCACGTAAGCTACGTAAGAATATACGTAAGAGGAAGAGAGCATTGAAACATCCAATAGTAAGACTAACACCACAACAACAGTTGCAACAACAAATGCTGAATGACCCCACTATGTTGCAACAAATGTCAAGCAATCCTATGCTTTTAAACCGAGTTGTTGGTGCACAGAGTGGAGGTTTAAGAGCGGCACTTTTAGCGAAAATGGCAGGCTATGGTGGAGCTGCAGACGGAACAGCATATAACCCTCAAAGTCAAATGAATTTGAGTTCACTCAAAAATCAAATAGCAGATGTCAAAAAGTCAAACATAGACATACAGAAGCAAATAGGTGAAAACGAAAAAGAAACTAGAATATGACAGACACACAAAGAAACTCAATGAGTTAAACGTAGAGAAAAAGAAGAAAGAAGAACAACTGAAAGAACTAAGTACAGAGGAATATGCGAAAAAAGTGTCAGAAAAAGCAGCAGAAGTAGCAAAAATGGAACAAGATGTCATAAATTTGAAAAACCATACTACTCGATATAAAGTACTGAAAGATGAAGAGATAAAACAAAAAGCCCTGAAGACATATATGGATAGCGATGAGTATAAAAAAGAAGTTGAAGCAACTGTAAAGGCAGAAAAACTTTTACAGTTGCAAAACCAAACCGTACAGTATGAAAACTTAGCACAAGAAAGTAAAAATAACGACGCGGCTATGCAAAAGGCAATGAAAAGCGCAGAATATATAAAAGCTAACAATGACTGGTTAGATGCCCAAGCCAACGCTAAAGCAGCCCAACTCATAGGGTCAATAAGGACAAAAATACAAGCGGATGAAGATAGTTCAAATGAAGCTTTAACAAATGCTGACTTTAAGAACGCCTTCGAAGCTCTTCATAGTAAGGTGAAACAAGTGAACGACTTCTCATCTGGAAAGAAACTGAAGTCTGAAGGTTTCGACAAAGAGTTAAAAGAAGTAGCACAAAATATGACGAAAATAACAGATGCAGCAACGAGACAGGCAGTTCAAAGTGCCTATGACGCCGTTAGAGCAACTGTTGTGAAAAGTCAAGAAAAAGAGTTACAACAGACCAAAACAGACCTAGTAAATGCTTTCTTAAGAACGAAAAGTCAGGTAGGACATTACGCTGCAGATGGAACATATGTGCCAGCTGGTGGAATTTATATACCACCAAACCCTCCAAGAGAAGCACCTGCACCAGGACTACCTAGAACATTTACATCGTCACATGGACACAGACACAGGCATGCACCAAAACCAACACAACAACCAACAGTTCAAAAACCAGCACAGCAACCAACAGTTCAAAATCCAGCACAACAACCAACAGTTCAAAATCCAGCACAACAACAACCACAAACAGAGCAAGGACATAAAAGAAGTAGAGAACAAGGAAACCAAGAATTCTTAAAAATGCTTAAAGAAGAGTGTGGTTTCCCAGATAGTATTGACTTTAGTGACAGATATAAAGAAGCTATTGGAAAGTTCAAGGATGGAAATACTGACCCGAACCTATTTAGCTTTATGGCTCAGCACCAAAACGGATATAATCTCAAACCTGGAAAATACAAGCTCGCTAAGGGATATGATTTAATAGCATATCATCCAAATGACATGGATGAATTTACTCCGAGATATTTGATGTCAGAGCTAAATGACAATTCAACTTTCGTCATGAAACGCGTAAAAAATAGAGACGGAACGAAAGAACAAAAGCTTATGAATGCGGATGACGTAGATAGGGAAATTGTTGAAAACGGTCTCGGAATATATGAAATGCCAGCAGATGAGGTACAAGAAACTCCACAGGAAGAAGTTCAGATACAACCAGACATGGAAGAAATAGTTCAGCAACAACAGCTAGAAGAGCCTGAAGGAAACGAACAAGTCCTTCCTTTGGAAACTAACTTCACAGAACTAGATGAAGATTTGGAACAGCCGAAAAATCTTGACCCTCAACAAGAGTATGCGGAGAATATGGAATATTTCCAAGAGTCTAAAAAAAATTCGGCTGACATAGTAGAAGAATATCGAAAAATGTTTGCCGACATACAAAAGACTCCAACACCAGATGAAAATATTCAGCATAGAATGGAAGCACTGAAAGAAAATGTACACAAATACAACAACCCTTTTTACTTACGAGCATTTAACGTTCAATCTTCGGATGAACTCGGTGAAAATAAAAGGTTAAATTTCAAGAAAACATATAGAAATGAAACATTGTTTAAAGTTCATTCAGAACCTAACCAAGATGGAAACAAACCTACTTTTGTTTCTGCAGACGATGGAACTACAATGAGATGGGGTCATAAAGCTAATCCGGATAGGTGGTTCATAAACTTACAACCACAATTCCAAGAAGTTGTAGACGCAATGGAAGTCAATGGTGAACCAGATATAGCTGGTATTTTCAGCGCGGCTTTAATGCCATTGAAAGATATGAAAGATGCAGATATTTTGGACCAGTATGAAATGAACATGGCTGATGGAAATATAACACCTGACGTTCTAGAACATTTATCTCAAAGAACTACACAGAACCATAAAGATGGTATATTTGGTGAAGAGTTTAGAAAGAAAGTTAGGGAGAGAGAAGGAAGAGAACCTATTGTACATGACCTTGCAAACGAAAGTTTACAAAATGTCATAAAAACTTACTTTGCAGACGATGAATCGAGAAGGGATGAATATTTAAGAAAACTCAAATGGACAGTACCAAATGAAATGTTAGTATTGAAAAACATGTTCCTTGACAAAATAAAACCAACTACAGAAATAAACGACGCAAGACTGAAAGATTGGGTAAAAGCTTTCCCATTCACAAAAGATATAGTTGGTAACATGGAAAGAAAACCAGAATGGCTACAAAAACATATATTTGGAAACGAGCTTATTCCATATGGACAGGCACTGTTTGAAGCGCTTGAACCGGAAACTCAGGAAAGAGTCATGCAAACAATACGCGAAGACTCAAATACAGACTATGACAAACTCTTTCTAGGATATAGGTTACCTGAGATGGGCGACCAGAGCCAAAAGGCAAAAAGGACATGGGAAATTTGCAACATACTAGATGAACATAATGCAAAGATGCAACAACTTCAAGCAGAGGGCAATGAAGGAAAAAGAAGAGTTAAAAACTCAGTCAGGAAGAAAGTAAAGCTTGGTCGGAGTGGGTTCTATTATGACATATAAACCAACTATTCTATATTTTTACCCATATGAAATGTACGCCGCTCAGAATATAACGCCAACAGTTTTGGATGCTATGAATGGAAATGTTTCCGAATGGTATAACGAATGCGACAATGCCATTAGAAGGTCAGAAATAGTTCCTGGAACTTACGAATATACAACTGCTGTTTCTTATGGAAACGTAGGTGAGTTTGGAGAAGGTTCTTCAACAACAGTAGATATTGCTTGCGACAGGTTTCATATAATTTCTATTGACAACTCTTTCTTATACGTGGAACAAGACATTGAAAAAAACCTTCTGCCAAGTTGTCTGACAAAAAGGTTGCAATGGAATTTTCTATGTCGGATACCAATATGCTCCAGAAGTTTTCATGGGATATAAGATATATTCTAACTCTGACTTAGTTCAAACAGTAACATGGGCAAACTATGAATGGTTCGCTTTGAGAAACTCAGTACAACCACAAGCTAGAGAACAAACAGACCAGTATGCAACTATTGAGAAAATAAGAAGACTTGACCCTAACGTTCCAGGAGTTTATGTTAACCTTTCTGGACAAACTGCAGCAGCAGTAACCAAAGTAAAATTGAAACTTAGAGTTCCTTTGTCATCTTTCCTCATCTTCAGGTTTTTAAGATACTTGCCAAACTGGGCAGGAAAAATTTCTATCGAACTTACTCCAAGCAAAAATAACTTAGTCATTGCACCAACACAAGACCCATTCACTCTTACAGAAGTAGTGGGAACAAATAAAATGTCATTCGCCGACTTTTGCAAAAACAAAGTTGACTTAGACTTTGGTTTCTCAAACCTCAACACTGAAGTAAAACTATTATTTCAATGCTGCTGGAGATGCTTGGGACCCAGTTAAGTTCACATGCGAAAAATTTGAATGCAAGAGAATAGAAAGCAGACTTGCAGTCTATATGTTGGACCCAGATATTTCAAATGCTTTAGCTGCCAAATATATTGCAGTTCCACTTATGTTCCCTATACACAAATATCTGTCAAAGACTTTGCAGGTGAAGTTGGAAACCAAAGTGCTGACCCAGGTGCAAGAACAGATATTGCCTTAACAACTGCAATGAAACATGCAGATACTCTGTTTGTACTGTTCAGACGAAACTATAAATGACTATTCTTGTTTCTACAACCCCGGTATTAAATATCATATAAACATAGATGGCAAATACTATCCAAGAGAAGAATATTCTACAGTTGAGGATATGAGGTCATACAACTTGACATTAGATGCTATGAACTTTAACAACAACTTCACAACAACCATTAACCCTGAAATGCAAAGTTCTATTATGCCATATGTGAAAGTATGGACCCATACAGGAGCTCAAAAAACTCAATATACAAATGGAGACCGTTCAAACTTTTGGCTTGGCATTCCATTTGCTGACTCAGAAGACTTTATGGGTGGTATTTCAACTGTTGGTACTGTACAAATACAATATACTGGTGACAGAGACGGTCCAGATGAACTGAGAGCAAAGAAGTTTACAAAACCAATAGCACTTTTCACGGAAGATGCTCTTTTGAAAATTCGTTCGATGAAACCTGCTGGGCTCCTCAGATTGGTATAACGACAGCTTCCATCGAGCAGATTTTGGCAGCAGGTCAGTAAGTTGTTCTTGAACTGACTTCTCTCCGTCAAATATTGACAGTACGCCAGTTTTGACATAAAATTGTATTATAAACTTACCTTTAGAAATATCGGTCAGTTTTGTTGTTATATTTTTGTCTGCTTCAAGAACTTTCACCATCTCGGTTATACCAACTTTCTTTGCTTTATGAAAATATTTTGGTTCAGCAAAGACTGCTATTCTATAACATTTTCCATTGTTTGTGTAAAGAACTATTCTATCAATGAAACTTGTATTGTTTGTGTGTGTAAACTTTGTTTTGCTTCAATTCGAAGAGATACTCAAATACGTCCATCTTTTTATTCTAAGTAAAATGTCATTTCCGAAAAATAGAAGCGTAAGTGTTTCAAAAGGTTTAATGGCGATGGCAGATGTGAAGTTAAATTCACCAACTCAAACAAACAGTCAAAGTGTTGTTGTCAATGTCAAAGAAAGAGATGTTGAAGTGGGGAAACCATACGAAGACGAAGATGGTATAACAATAGTTCCTGTAAAAAGAACCAACATACCCTGAAGTTAGCAGAGACTTAAGTTCTGTTGCAGATATTCGAAATGACTACAAGCAACTTAAAGACAAACTTAAAACTCAGGAGAAGATTTGTCAAGCTTTGGGTATAATGTTAAACTTGGTTGAGCACAACCCTGTAAAAGTGAACTCATATGTCATCGCACCTCATGAAATTTTGAAAGAACTATTGAAACTTTTGACAGAGGCAGACGATATAAACATCAAAGAAATAGAACCCGACATTGCTTGCTGTGGTGTTTCATACAATGTCATTGACAAGATATACGTTATGAAAGGAGGCGAAACGTTGAACTTAAAATATAGTTTCCCAGACGTCATAAAAATATTTGACGACCACAACATTTCATTAAAAATTTGCTAAGTAAATGGCAGAAGACATAGTGGTTTATACTATTACGACTAAAAACCCTGAGTCATATAATTCTATAACAAACAAAACTTACAAAGTCCTCAAGGACGGTATTTGTAAACTAACCTTAAACACAATGACGACTAAAGCCTGTTTTGCTCTTTTGACACCAGAAGACTTTATTGTTGTGAATGGTAAAAAATACTTCTTTGAAGATACTTACTCAGATATACCACCAACAGGTTTTGTTGACTTATTTAATACTTTAAGGACGAGTGTAACATGTGCTTGCAACTAGAGCAGGTTTCATTATGTTTGGATGTCCGACTGAGTTTACTATAAACAATATGAGCTATAATACAAAACTTATTTCTGGTTTTACACAACAGTTTCCTATAACAGGAAAAGGTGTCATACAAGGAATGTCTGTTCCATTGACTTTAAGTACACCTATTTTATATATTGTTTCAAAACTTAGGTTCAAAGTGCTATTCGAATGTTGACAGAAACTACTATGACCAAAAGATACTCATGCGTATAAACAACACTTTCTCTGCTGGTTGCCTATTGTTCATTCGAATGCAGAGTTTTCAGCTTTATTAAACTCAAACACTTTAGCAACATAAACTTAACCTTAGTTGACGCAAACTTTGTTCCTGTAAAACTTTATGTCCTATGTATTTTCAATGACGGCAGAAAGTTTCGAATTGGAAGATGCAACTGGTGAAAGTATTGTATTACAAGAACAACTTCAACAACAAATAGCTCAAGAACAACAAATGCAACAAATAGCTCAAGAACAACAAAGTCAAGAATAAAAAAATATTTTTTTTTTATTTTTATAAAAATGTACAGAATAGATGTTTCAGATTTTTATGACTTCCAAGCATTCAGAAATATGTGTCCATTTAGAGACTATAACAAAGCAGTCGAGAATTTGAAACGTTTAGTCATTTATGTCGACTCTGCCCCAGAATGTTATGTTATGAAAGAATGGATGTAGTCTTTAACAAACCAAGAGCAACAATAGTTTCAGAACAAGAATGTAGACAGAAACTTTAAGAAAATAAAAGTTGTACAAGTTGGCATGAAGATGTTAGATGCTTGGGATATCTTATTGTCAAAGTTAGAAGATTTTTCAGTTCGTGGTATAAAGTTTATACACCTTCTCCAAACTTCTATTCTATCTTCACTGGATATAAATATGAACAAGTAGAATGGAAAGAAAATGTTATAGAAGCTTGGTTAGACCATGTCAAAGAAATTATATGCAATGGAAACGAAAGAGTCTATGAGTATATCTTATGTTGGTTTGCAAACATCTTACAACATCCAAGTGCTAAAAATGAAACTGCTCTCATTATAATTGGAAAACAAGGAACTGGTAAGAACACATTCTTTACAGATATCTTATGCAAACTGTTAGAGGGCTATTCGAACCCGAATATGACAAACATAGAAAACATCTGCGGTAAATTTAACTCTTCAATAGAGAATATGAAACTTATAGTATGTAACGAACTTCAAAGTATAGATACAACAAAAGTTTTAAACTCAGATGCTTTGAAGAGTCTTATAACAGACAAAGTTGGAGTTGTTGAAAGAAAATATAAAGACCAAAGAGTTTGTGAAAATGTTGCAAACTTCGTCATGGTTTCAAACAATGCCGTTCCGATGAAGTTAGAAAGTTCTGACAGAAGATATGTAGTTGTCAGAACGTCAGATTCTCATATGCAAGATACAGAATATTTTGACGACTTAGCAGAAACTTTGACATCTGACTTTTACAACCACTTGTTCTCATATTTCATGACATTAGATATTTCTAAGTTCAATCCAAGACAAATTCCACATACCGAAGAAAGACAAACATTGTTAGAAGCAAACAAGAGTGTTTATGAACTGTTTATAGATGAGACTAACTTTGAGTGTTTAGATGAAAGGTCAGTGTACGATGAATATAAACAATATTGCCAAGAGTATGGTTATATGACAGCGTCTAAACGAACATTCTTGGCAAATGTCAAAAATCTTTTAGATGTTCAGAACGGCGTATATACAAAGAAAAATTTTTCTGAGTAAATTTTAAAAAAATATTTTTTTATCCGATAGAAAAGATGGCAAAATTCATCTCAGTAAACAAGTACATGACAGAAGTCAAAGAAGAACTAGACCCATTCGCTTATTTGAATGTTTACTTCTACCATTTTGAAAAGTCTTCATTCAGCAAAGTTTGGAACATCGAACCAGTTAAGTTTGCTATTGTGACTAAAAATGGTGCGAAATTTGAAGACTTAGACATTGACGGTATGTTGACAGTCAAAGAAAATTTTGACAGAAAGTTCTCAAAACTCGAAGAAGGCAAAGCATACAAACTTGTTATACCTTATGAACCAAAGAAAGCAGACGACTATGAATATTATGAGTCTAAGATAGTTGAAGTTCAAGGTAAATTGGGTAAAAAGATTTTAGAGTCTAAGCCAGTGTTTGCTCCTAAAGAGGAAGAGAACATTGACATTGACCCAGAAATGTTCTAAAAATAAAATTTTATTTTTACATGTCAAATTTCTTTTTCTCTGGTTCAGGTTCTTTCTTCTCTTCTTCTACTTTCTTTTCTTTCTTCTCTCTCTTCTTCTTCTTCTCTGGTGGAGTTATGTCAAACTTCTCAGAACCATATTTTTGTAAAAGGTCTTTGTCCTTTAATAGCTCTTCTATTCTGTTTTCTATTTCATCTTCAAGAACAGCGCATGTGTCTTCTTTGCATTCTAAGAACTTTTGTTGGACTTCAGCTTTCCAATCGGCGTCATCTCTGTCAACAAGTCTGTCATTGACAAATTTTAAGACTTCTCTGCTTAATGTTTTATGGTTCTTGTCATATTCCCAGAAACAGAACTTTAGAACAAATTCACCTTTCTTGTTTACACTATGTAAGATTTTATGGTCTACAGATGTTTTGCTGTCGAAAAGCTTGTCTCGAATATAGATAGCGAAATCGCTAGACATTTCCTAAAAGATAAAATTTTTAATTTTTCTAAAAATATGTTAGAAAAAAAGTTTGCTGACATTGACAAGAAATTTGAGAATGTTTTAAACAAGAACAAGAGGAAGTTAGAAAATGCTCAGATAAAGCCTATACATGACAAGTTCTTATTTGCTCAGAATGGTATAACAGGTCTAATTGCACCACCTGGGTCGGGTAAGACTTTCACTTATCTTAAAATGGCTGCACAACAACAAGAACTAGATGAGAAGAACCCATTCTATGAGTTAGTTGTTATTTGTAGTACTTCTGGTCAATTTGACCAAACCGTCAATTCGTTCAAAGATATTATAAAAAAGTCTAAGTTAGTATGTATAAAAGACTCTGAGTTGTTAGATTGGATAAAGAAGTACCAAAGAAGAGTTTTGAAGTACAATGCTATAAATGAGTATATAAATTCTAAGTTTAAAGACCCAAATGAGGAAATGCAGAGAATATTAGAGAAGAAACACTTCAGAAACAAACAGAAAGAGATAGAATACATTTCGAAGAAATTGCAATCTTACGATTGGAAGACTTACCCTCATAGATGTCTTCTTATCTTAGATGACTTTGCTTCTCATCCTTTGTTAAAGAATAGAGAACAAGACATGTGTCGAATTCTTAAGAAGCTCAGACACTTTAACATCTCAGTTGTCATTTGTGTACAGACAGCCAAGAGTTTAAGTAAGGATGTAAAGAGAATACTTACTGACATTGTACTTTTCCCCGGATTGTCCGAAGACGATTTCATGGAACTTATGAAAGAGTCCATGGCAGGTAAGTTTGACAGACATGAACTATGGGAGAAGTACAAAGTCATACAAGACCCTCATACTTCTTTCAGAATTCATATCTACGCGAACAAAGTTCAAATTGTAAAAAGTCAAGCTTGAAAAATGTAAGTGTTAGTCTTAGTCTGCTTGTGGTGCTGGGGCTGTCGGTTCTTCTGGCTTTGGAATGGACTCGGTTGGTGGTACGTCGGACATTGTCTTGAAACAATAAAAGACTTGTCTTGAAACAATAAAAGACTTGTCTTGAAACAATAAAAGACTTGTCTTGAAAAAGTAAAAGACTTGTCTTGAAAAAGTAAAAGACTTGTCTTGAAAAAGTAAAAGACTTGTCTTGAAAAAGTAAAAGACTTGTCTTGAAAAAGTAAAAGACTTGTCTTGAAAAAGTACGGGTATCGTCTTCAATCAAGACCACTGTTCTCAAATTTGAGAACTTTACACCAAAAAATTTCTTGAAAAATAACGGGTCTTGTCTTGAAAAAGTAAAAGACTTGTCTTGAAAAAGTAAAAGACTTGTCTTGAAAAAGTAAAAGACTTGTCTTGAAAAAGTAAAAGACTTGTCTTGAAAAAGTAAAAGACTTGTCTTGAAAAAGTAAAAGACTTGTCTTGAAACAATGACCGACATAGACCCAGCAGATGAGGCAATTTACCTTATAGAGCTACCTGAGCCATCTTTGGTGTCAAGCTTGAAAAATAAATGGTTCATTTACTCTTCCTCTTTGAAGTTGTCAAAATACTCTGTTATCTTTTCCTTCAGTAGCGGTAAGTCTTCTTTGAAGGTAAGAATTGTACAACCTTTAATATCATAGTGTGTTTGAGGTAACGTATCTTGAACTATTTGTTTCACATCTTCATTTGGTGTCATTGAAATCGGTAAGTTTTCGCGATAGAACCAATTTCTGTCAGATTTGTAAATCTTAGCTAAGTCGTAAAAGCTTTTGTTGTTTCTTCTGACTAAATGCAACATAACCATATCTCTGTCTTCTTCATTTTCCATCTCTTCAGTGTAAATCATATACTTATAGTTCTTTTCCTTTCCTTTTGGTACCGAACGTGGTATTCTTTTCTGTATGTTTTTGTCTTTTGCTTCAAGCTTGTTCTCTAGCTCTTCACGTTCTTGTCTATGAAGTTCATCTAACATCATGAAAATATAACAAGCATAGCGAGGCGAAGCCCACATTGCAACAGCATTTACAAGAAGTCTATGTACATACCAACCTCTCAAACCATTTGGCAAATTTTGACGATTTTCGTACGGAATCTCGACCCGCGGTTTTCCGCGGGTCGCAAACATATGAGGAAATTCTTCTAAAAGTTCTTTTGTCTGTTGGTTTTCAAACCAATGATGTGCTTGCTTTGTAGAACGAAGAGCATTGAAAATACTTTGCATTTGGTACATGTCATCTTTGACCGAACGAATGAGACGGAGTTGTTTGTTATACTGTATGTACTCGTATTCTTCACTTATGGCTTCATGAACGATAGCAGTTGTTGTGTTCTCTGTTGTTGACATTTCTGTTCTTACATACAAAATAAAAAAATAAAAAAAAATAAAATTAGCGTTATTTTCTATCTTGTATAAAAGACCAAAAATAAACGCTTTACATGTATTTTTCAGCAACTTCGTCAAATACTTTTATAGCTTTGTCGATCTCATCTACTTCAAACGTTTCTTTACCTCTCGTGGGAGCACCATACATTTTCTCAAACTTTTCAAGTAGTTCTGTTTCAGCAGCTCTCATATCGTTAACAAACGCAACCTTGACTCTATTGACTATACTGTCATATCTTTGAGTTATATTAAATGTTCTTCCTATCTTATATCTCTTTGTATTGAAGTCCTTCGGTTTCTGAACGATGTAAAGTAAGCCTTCACTGCAACGTTCCGTATCGAATGAACCATATGTTATGAAATTATATCCAACAACTGGGTCAATCCAGAACAAAACTACTGGTATAAGACTTTTGTCGATGAGATATGCTCTTGTTCCATAGAATCTTACCGATATCATCAGCTCAGGATTTTTTGTCAAAATTTTCTGAGTTGAAGCATTTTTAACCCAGTCGTGTGCTTTCTTTCCTTCAGATAGTGTTAAAATGTCTGACAAAGAATATTTTTTGTATTTCTTTGAGTATCTTACGTTTAAATCACCAATTCTAACTATTTTGGTCTCATTGTCTATCTTTCTAACTGTTTCAAACTCAGTGCTTGTCATTTCCTGTTCTTACATACAAAATAAAAAAATAAAAAAAATAAAAACTAACTTTATTTTTTCTATCTTAAGGAAATTCATGATTTTTGGTCATTTTTCAGCAAAAATATATTTTAGGTGAAGAGGTGAAGCCCACATTGCTACAGCATTTACAAGAAGTCTATGTACATAATATCCTCTCAAACCGTTTGGCAAATTTTTACGATTTTCATAGAGTTTTGGCGACCAGGGTTTTTTCCCTACTCGCTGTTCTTCGCTGTTCTTCACTGTTCTTCACTGTTTTCATGTGTTTTAGGCATCTACGGTTTTTCCCGTAGATGCTGTTCTTCACTGTTTTCATAGAGTTTTGGCGACCCCGTAAAAAACCGGGCTCGCTGTTCTTCACGATTTTCATAGAGTTTTGGCGACTACGGTTTTTTACTTACTCGCTGTTCTTCGCTGTTCTTCACTGTTTTCATAGAGTTTTGGCGACTACGGTTTTTTACTTACTCGCTGTTCTTCGCTGTTCTTCACTGTTCTTCACTGTTTTCATGTGTTTTAGGCATCTACGGTTTTTCCCGTAGATGCTGTTCTTCACTGTTTTCATAGAGTTTTGGCGACCCCGTAAAAAACCGGGCTCGCTGTTCTTCACGATTTTCATAGAGTTTTGGCGACTACGGTTTTTTACTTACTCGCTGTTCTTCGCTGTTCTTCACTGTTTTCATAGAGTTTTGGCGACTACGGTTTTTTACTTACTCGCTGTTCTTCGCTGTTCTTCACGATTTTCATGTGTTTTATGCAAGACCGTTTTTTTCCCTACTCGCTGTTCTTCACGATTTTCATAGAGTTTTGGCGACCAGGGTTTTTTCCCTACTCGCTGTTCTTCGCTGTTTTCATAGAGTTTTGGCGACTACGGTTTTTTCCGTAGATGCTGTTCTTCACTGTTTTCATGAGTTTTATGCAAGACCGAAAAAAGTCGGTCTAGAGAAATTTCACTCAAAAGTTCTTGTGTGCTTTGGTTTTTTCCTTACTCGCTGTTCTTCACGATTTTCATAGAGTTTTGGCGACCAGGGTTTTTCCCGTAGATGCTGTTCTTCACGATTTTCATGTGTTTTATGCAAGACCGTTTTTTTCCCTACTCGCTGTTCTTCACTGTTTTCATAGAGTTTTGGCGACTACGGTTTTTTCCTTACTCGCTGTTCTTCACTGTTCTTCACTGTTTTCATACGGAATCCCTTCTCTCGTTTTTCCGAGGGAAGCAAGCATATGCCATTTTACTCAGAATTTTGTTGCTGAATTCAGCAAAAATAATGTTTATGTTAGAATGTTAGATCTAACATGTTTTCTAACATGTTTTCTAACATGGTCTAAAACATACAAAACTCATGAAATTTCATACGGAATTCAGCAAAAATAATGTTTATGTTAGAATGTTAGATCTAACATGTTTTCTAACATGTTTTCTAACATAACTATTTACAAGCGTTTTACATGGTATATGTTGCGATGGTTCATGACTTTAAACAGTTTTGTAGCCTCTATTTCTTCTTTTAGTACATCGAATGTTTTAACTATGCCGAAGGTTTCTTTATATTTCTTCTTGACATCAGATAGAAGGAAATCTTCTGCGGTTGGATAGTTTTTGTTCAGAAATGCTAACATGTCCATTTTATCTTCTGCTGGCTTTTCTGCTTCTTTCTTTAAGTCTGCATAGTCGTTTCTCATACGTTCTATCTCTTTGACGGAGTAGTTATATTTCCTCATTGCTGCTTTACATTTAGAACATTGCGGGTTCATTTTTGCGTTATATTCTGAAACCTTACCTGCTAAAACAACTAAGGCGTCAATGGTTTTCTTTAAATCTGAAGCAGTTGGTTTTATCTGTTCATTCCATACCTTACCTCTTCTGTCTTTATCTCTTATCTGCCATACACATTTTGCAGCTAATGAAACAAAGTTGTCGTAGGTCTTAAATTCTTCAGATTTATATATGTCAGAAACATTCTTATATACCATATCGCAATCTTTGTCCATAACTTTATGGTTGCAATGAAAACCAAGGAATTCATAGTTTACCTTTCGTATGAACTTCTTTATTTCTACCGAGTCGGTTGGTCTGACTTCTATTTCATCGAATTCAGGAATAGTGAGCTTTTGTTGTTGGATTTCAGGCAATTTGGGTAAATGGTCAATAATATCCTGCATTTCATAAAGATATTCTTCATTTGTTTCATCTTTTGCACTACAGTCTAAAACTCCTTGGAGAAGTTCTTGCTTTATCTTCTGGATTTCTGTTTCGAAAGTATATGAAGAAGGAATGAAGTTTTTCATTTCTACTAACATAGATGTTGGATTCATAACTAACGAGTTTGGTGCTGTAGTTGTTTGAATTGTTGTTGTGCCGATTGTTGAAATCATATCTTTTATACAAAATAAAAAAAATAAAAAAAAATAAAGTTAGTTTTATTTTTTATTTCGGGAAAATTCATGAAAATTCAAGTTTTAGAATTTCACGAATTCACAATGTTTACCATGTAAAACGCTTATAAAATAACTGGGGTAGAAATGAGGTTAGAAAACAGGTTAGATCTAACCTTCTACCCTAAAATATATTTTTATTGAATTCCGTATGAAATTTCATGAGTTTTGTATGTTTTAGACCATGTTAGAAAACATGTTAGAAAACATGTTTTCTAACATTCTAACATAAACTTTATTTTTGGTGTAAATTTCATGAAAATTCAAGAGTTTTAGACCATGTTAGAAAACATGTTAGAAAACATGTTAGATCTAACATTCTAACATAAACTTTATTTTTGGTGTAAATTTCATGAAAATTCAAGAGTTTTAGACCATGTTAGAAAACATGTTAGAAAACATGTTAGATCTAACATTCTAACATAAACTTTATTTTTGGTGTAAATTTCATGAAAATTCAAGAGGTTAGAAAACATGTTAGAAAACATGTTAGATCTAACATTCTAACATAAACATTATTTTTGGGTCCGGGAACAACTTTCTCTCAATAGGGGCTGTAGCGTACTCTTTGCGTAAGCGGTTCAGACCTTCTTCGAACTCTTGGGCTCTCTTCGATTTGTATTGGAATTGGAATTGCTGGGGTGGAGCTTGCTGGAACATCCAAGGGTTGGGGAAGTAAGGCATAGGCTGAGGAGGGTAGTTCGGGAAGCCTTGTGGTGGGTAGTAACCTTGAGGTGGAAATTGGTAGTAAATCGGAGGTACTTGCTGGAACTGAGGTTGCTGAGGAGACTGTTGTGGTTCTTTAGGTTCCTCTGGCTTGGGAATGGGCTCGGTTGGTGGGACGTCGGACATTCGTTTGTGGCTTAACCGTCGGACCACAACGATAAAAATCTCTGCTACTAGCAGTACTGCTACTGACAGTAGCAGTACTTTTACTGACAGTAGCAGTACTTTTTCTGACAGTAGCAGTACTTTTTCTGACAGTAGCAGTACTTTTACTGACAGTAGCAGTACTTTTTCTGACAGTAGCAGTACTTTTTCTGACAGTAGCAGTACTTTTTCTGACAGTAGCAGTACTTTATCGTCGAAAACCCTCTCAAATTTTCCTTTTTACTGCAACTAGCAGTACTTTTACTGCTCGTAGCAGTACTTTTACTGACAGTAGCAGTACTTTTACTGACAGTAGCAGTACTTTTTCTGACAGTAGCAGTACTTTTTCTGACAGTAGCAGTACTGCTACTGACAGTAGCAATGGTCGAGGTCGAACCTACCGACGAGGCAATTTACCTAATTGAAATTAACGAGCTTGTTAAAGACTTCCTCAGGCAGAATGTAAAAGGCAAGCTTGTTAACTGTTGGATAACGGGAAGGGCTGCCTTGAATCTCGAGACTTCGACTGGAATTCCAATTCAAATACCAGACGGGACAGCCTACGACGACATAAAGCAAGCAAAGAAAGAAGCTCTTCTCAAGTTCTTTGCCAAGCGTCCTTGGATACAACTTCCAAACAGAGAGAACCCTTTCCCAAGAATGAGCCAAATTCTCAAGGGTCTCCTTCACTTCTCGGGTCAGCCGTTCTACATAACCTGTGAAGGCGACATCCAACCAGTTCAGTAAACATCTCATTTTAACTCACTTTTTTCTATCTTAAGGAAATTCATGAAAATTCACCTGTTGAATTTTGTATAAAAAGCAACCCGCTGTTTTCCGGCGGTTGGTATATTCTTCACAAAATGCTTGTTTTGAGGTCGAGCCACTTTTGGCTCCACCTCTTTTTTCACCTAAAATATATTTTTCAATACTTTTTCAGCACTTTTCCGTAGTTGTATATGAAAGACAATTCGAGATAAAAGTCATAGTACAATGGTATAATATGCTGCACACCGTTTGTTGTGAACCAAACTTGAAAGTCAGAGAAACTGTTACTAGGTGGTTCGTAGAATTTAGAAGCAAAGTCATAAAAGTCCTTACCAATACAAAGAAAACTGTTGTTGCTTGAACTGAAACTTGCATGACACATGACATTTTGAGGGTCGAACACGTTTCTATAAACTGTCAAATCTGTTGGTGGGCGTATAAATTTAAACGGACCGTCAGGTGGTAATGGTTCGTTCTGGTTTAGTAACCGAAGAAATTGTGCCCAAGAACGTTTGTCTACTTCCCAAAATAAAAACTGTGTATCTCTTGGAGGGTTATTTTCAATCCTTTGAAATGAAACGGTGGAATTCATCTTGTTGTATTCTAGTTTTAGATAGTATGTTCCATTTAGTAAAGAGTCGTATTTTTCTTGAAATTCCCAGTAGTATTTGTTTATTTGAGTTTGAAAGTCATTTAGAGTTTTCTCAAGACTTTCGTCTGAACGAATTGTAAAGATTCTCATTTCGTCAAATTTGTCTATTAGACCATCAGAACCTTTATATTGCCCATGAAAATATACTGCGAACATAAATGCGTTAGTTCTTTTTGAAAACAAAACTCTTCTAAATCCTATTGCCTTTGCATCTGAAGGACTTTGAAGCCAACGAATTGGATAGTCAAACCTGTAAGTACGGGATGAAATTTCTTCATCTGATATAGTCCTACCGGCGTTTGTAAAGATATAGTCTAACGGTTTTGTATCTGCTACTTTTGTTCTTTGTTTTTCAACCTGAAACATTTAATATATGTAAAAATATACTGTTTTAAAATTGTATGCCATATAGCTTCTTGAATTTGTTGAGAAATATATGAACGTGTTTTCCATCTGTATCTCTAGTGTTTACATAAGCACAGCCTGCCTTAGTAAAACATACTTGTAATTTTCTATAGTTTACGCCGGTATAAAGGTAGAAAGAGTCCTGTTCTTCGCTATAGTAGTAAAACTCAAACGTATGCTTACCATAGTCTGTAATTTCAATTGCTTCATCTTCTAGTTCGTCGACAAATTCGAATACAATATCTCTAAATTTGCCTATGTTCTTACTGTTTTCAGAACAAGTGACCCAACGTAAGTTTTCAAGTCTATTGTCGTTTCTTATATGGTTTATGTGGTCTACAAAAGGTAGATTGTTAGGGTTTGGTATAAAATGAGTTGCAATGACAACATGTTTAAAATAGTGTTTTCCACCAATCCTCATCCTAGCATATCCGTCATTTTGCTCCCATTCGCTTAAAACTCTTTTTGTCTTTTTGTTTCTGACTTCAAAAGGCTCAGAACAGTGAATTTCATATTTCTCATCTAACAAACAAGTTTCCCAACGGTCTTCTTCAACAAACTCAACGTACATTTCAAATAAAATAAAAAAATATATTTTTTAAAAAAATGTTTTTATTTCATGCAATGTTTTTCTTTTACTTTACATAACCACCTGCTGCCATAAGCCTTTGACGCCAACCCATACCAGCTAATGAAGGTTGGCTTGTTTTAGTAGTTTCCAAACTAAACTTTGGTTTTGGTTTATCTTCAGTTTTTGGCTCACCTTCTTCTATTGGTTTTTCGTCACTTTTTGGTTCCTCTGACTTTACCTCACTTGCAGGTATGGTTGTGTCGTTAGTATCTTCGTAAATATCATATGCCATTTGTTTTTGTTTTCCTTTCAACTTTTTGTGTTTGTTGTAAAGTTTAGAATATTTCGACTCTAAGTCAATGAGATGTTCTATAATGAACTGTTTGTCAGTGAAGTAAACTTTTCCATCTGTTGTCTCGAAAGCTCCTTCAGACTTCAATATTTTATTTGTGAGAGTCTGTTTCTTTTTTGAGATACTAGCCGTTCCATTTCTATGAAAAGTGACTTTATAGTTAGGGTTTGTATTTCCAGACCTGGCACTTTCTATTATTGAATTTTTCTCTTCATCTGTAAGTTCTTTGACAGGTTTTGACAATGGTTCTGAACTTTTTGTTTGTGGTGTCAAATCTACCGTTTCAACTTCTTCGGTCATTTCATCTCAGTAAAAAATTTTAGTTTGGTTTGTTTTCAACTGGTTGTTGTTGTTTTTTAAGTCGGTCTAAAACTTCCTGAGGTATAGGAAGAACTTGACAAACACGTGGTGGTGTAACTGCTGGAAGCCGACAAATCCATCTTGAACCCATTTGTCTCAATGCTGTATTGTTCATTTCATCTCAGTAAAAAACTTTACATTCCCCAAGTTTGAGGCGGTTGCGGTTGGTTGTTGTTTACCCACTGTTGTGCATGGTTATATCCTCTGTTAAAGAATCTTTCACCTTGGTCCATGTAGTGTCCTGCTTGGTTATAGTAGTCATTTGCTTTGTTATAGTAGTTTCCTGCTTGTCTTCCTACATTGTCCATCCATCCTTGAACTTTTCCTCTTGTTTCAGGATTTGGAATAAGATTTGCTGCATCTCGTGCTACATCCCAACCTTTCTGTACAGTTTGTATAATAGGTTGTGCTTTCTCTTTAAGTATACCTAATGTACTCAAAATCTTCCTTCCAACTCCAAATACACCTCTGGCTATTGTTCCCACTGCGGGCAAAAATCTGGATGCAACTCCTGCTAATGCGCCAAATAAACCCATTTCTTATGGGTTAAAAAATGACGAATCCAAACAAGGACCCCTATGTTTCTAAGGCAACAAAGAAAGCACTCATGGTAAAAATCTTTAGTTCAACACCAAATGCTTGGTTTATGGATATCTTGGAAAACATTCCGAGAGTTAGAACAGATGGACCTCCATACTGGCTAATATTTGTCGGTCAAAACACAAGATACTGTGAAGCCATACCATTACAGTCCAAAAATATTTTAGATGTGAAAACTGCTTTGACAATATTCGTTGACAAATACCATCCAACAAAACTGACATCTGACTGTGAAAGTTCTTTCAAATCAGACGATATTAAAAACTATCTGCGTTCAAAAAATGTAAACCAATATTTCATTGTCGACCAAAACCATTCTGCTCTTGGTGTCATTGACAGTTGTATAAAAATCTTAAGAGACTTAAACCAACCACAAGGTGGTGAAGCAAATGAAATGTCATATGACGACAAGTACAGACACTTCTCCATGGCAAAGATGAGACAAGTTTTAAATATTTACAATACCCGTAAACAAAAAGGTTTGGGAAACCACTCCCCCGAAGAAATGAAAAACAACCCTGACTTAGAGAAAGACTATATATTTAATAGTTTAGTCAAAAGAGACAAACAAGAAAGAATGCCAGGCTTCAAACTTCAGAAAGGTGACAAAGTAAAAATAGAAATACCTAAACGCGACCCATATGAAAATACTATTGACTATGACAACAATGGGAACTCGACAGGTACTCGCATTCGTGTTCGTAAAAATAGAAGAAAGTATACAAGAGAATATTATGAAGTTTTAGGCAAACATGGCAAAATGTACAGACTGCAAGCAGAAGATAAAACTACTATTGTCAGACCTCGTTTCAAACTTGTCAAAGTTCAAGGTGGTATACTTTCAAAGACAGTTCCTAACAAATATAAGACAACTCCTGACGAATATGCTAAAGAAGTTGAAAATGACGACTAAGCAATTCTATACCATGCGTAAACTGTCATGTAAGGTGGCATGTAGTCTTTACTTTGTCCCGTTGTTTGTGTATACCCTGAAACGCGATGTGTATGGTTTCCTTCTCCCTGTGTGCTACCCCAGAAACAATTTATAGCAAACTGAACGTTGTCTTTAACATCATATCCTTTACCTTTTTTCATTGCTGACCAATCCCAAAATCTATGCTTATGCCAACCTGCTTGAGATGTACTTAAATCTATGTAGTGACTGTGTGCAGGTAAGTTTTCACCTGAAATCGTTTTACTTCCACCTGTTTCCTTTGAAGAGTTTGCACAATACAAAAACCTGTCGACTATTTGAGTCCAAGTTCCGAGACCAAGTACTACTTCTGGTCTGGTAGAGTTCATTGACGTGTAAATAGAACCTATAGGATATAGTGTTTGAAGTATTTCTGTCTTTAACGTTTGAAGCTCTGTTTTGTCAGCTTTGTTGTCATATAAATCTTGAGCAGTGAATTTAACATTGTTTTCATCCTTCATGACATAGACATTTCTACATCTAATGTATTTCATCGTCGTTATGTCATCCTCCGATGTTAAACCTTGTGGAAAGTTAGGAGGTTTCCAATTTAATACATCCCCACCAGTTTCTTCAACCGTTCCTTCAATATTTTCTATACCAACAGTTGCGAAGAAATCGTGTGTATGTCCAACGTCACTTTTCTTGTTTAAGGTTTCTTGTAAGTTTGTAATATTTGCAATGGTATGTGTATGAGTCTTTTTAGAATATTCTTTGTCAGCTCTTGTCACTTCACTTGACATTTTATTGTCAACATATGTTTTATCCGCCTTGTCATCTAACTTTTCTTGAAGTTCATCTACGTCATAGATGTTATGTGTATGGTGTTTTTGTGGGTATGCTCTATCTGTCCATGCGAAAATATAGTCTTTTGTTGCATCTACATACTCTTTGTCAGCTTTCTTTTCAAGGCTAACGTTTAAGTCTGTTATTTCAGATATAGTATGTGTATGTCCAACGTCACTTTTCCTGTTTAAGGTTTCTTGTAAGTTTGTAATATTTGCAATGGTATGTGTATGAGTCTTTTTAGAATATTCGTTTTCAGCTCTTGTCACTTCACTTGACATTTTATTGTCAACATATGTTTTGTCTGCTAGTTCAGGATGAGTATGTTCTTTTGTTGCATATGTTGCATCTGCTCTGTCATGTTCTTCTTGAACTTTTTCAATGACATACTCTTTGTCAGCTTTGTTGTCAACATCTGCTTTCAAAAGAAGTTCATCTATAGGTTTCTCGTTTAAAGTTCTTTTTGTTGGATTTATACAAACAGTATGGTTCTTACTGTCTTGAAACAGAAACTCGTCTGTCAATGGGTTTATCGTCAGTTTTAAGTTTCCTTCTTTCAATGACTCAGATATCTTAGAATAGTTTGAAAAGTTTGTTGTGTTCTTATTTAGAGCTTGCAAAATGAGTTGTCGGTTGTGTTGTATTTCTCTCATAGACGCTGTTTCTTTCGACATTTTTATTCTAGATAAAATATGCTTTCAATAAAAAGAAAATTCTAGAGTTGCTACAACTAAACCATTAGATGAACTTTTTACCAATGTCGGTCAAAAGTTTGAGACAGAGACCGTAAAGCATGAAGGCTATCGTTTTGACTACCCGTTAAGATGGCTAAGAGACCCATCCGTCACAAAAGCTATTGGCTTTCGTAGAATGAAGTTCATTTCAGAAGCCATACATGGTTTCCCATTTACGGTCGCTTTTGAAATTCGATACTATAACAAAGAGAAACGTACGTATGAGAAATTTGAACAGGGAAAACTTTTACAAGTGAATTTGCTTGTAAACTTAGAAACAACTCTTCAAGCTTTTCAAGAAAAAAAATAAACGATATCTATCTCGAATATGCAAAACAGTACAACATTGACGAAGGAGAGTACCATCTCGATATTTATATGACAGGAAAAATGCAACTGTTAAAATCAATAGAATAAAGACCTTGGAGAAGACGTTTATATTTCTACAAAATATAACAACTTGGCATGGTATAGGTTTCTGAGGATGTTAAATCAGCCTGCAGAATATCCAGTACACCCGGACTTTTATGAAGTCGAAAACCCTAATGGAACATATGAAAATGTTTTCGACTCAGATGCTATTATAGTTCATGCTTCATTTTCTGGCGCCCAAAACTCTTTTTTATGCTTGGCAAATGACTTTTACGAAAAACCTACAAAGCTATATGAACCACCGAGTGGAAGTATTTCAGACTTTCAAGTATGGTTTACAACAGATGGAAGAAAGAGAATAGTTCCATTATACCATGTGTTTTACTTAGAACTTAGTTTCATATACAACTACTATCGAACGGTAAAAATATAATTTTTTAATACGGTTGAGGTGTTGGATTTGGTTGCCAACTAGACTGTGGTGCAGGTTCAGGCTGTTGTATAACAGGAGCTTGTTCTTCTGGTTCAGGGTCTTTAGGTATAATACCAACAACTGACCTACTCTTTTACCAATATTTTTGACTCCGTTCCAAATTCCTCTTCCGACAGGTTTTATTCCATTCCATATACCTCTTCCAACATTTCGAAAGAAGTTTCCTATTCTGAAAGAAACCCATTTACTATATGTAAAAATCTAATGTCCACCTAGTCTCTTACGTTTCCTTCTGAGTTCCATTGCATTCTTTAACTGGAGCTCATACATTCTATTTCTCCTCTGGTAGAAAACATACTCTGGGTCAACTCCTGTGTTCGCGTCATCTGCATAGAGTTGTTTATATCCCACTTCAGGGTTTGTATAAAACTCTTTCCATCTCATATTTGCATACCATGGTGGCAAACCTAACGCAGCGTCATTTGACATGGCAGTTTGCATTTGTACATCTGTTGGCACTTGACCATAGTTTGCCATTGCAGTTTGTATTCTAACTTCATTTGGAATATTCTCTGGGTTTGGTTGTCCAGGTTGCTGTGCATTCGCTAAGTTCTGTGCGTCCATTTAATATTAGATAAAAATATCTCTTACGAGTACATATACTGGACATTTGCAGGCATTGGTTCATCTTCATATTCTCTATATCTTTCTGCCACGTCAAATAAGTAAATGACACAATGGAAAAAACCTAAAACAAGTAGTCCTATTTCAAACCACATTTACTTACCAATAAAATTTCTTTGTTATGACACTTTCTCCGGTTTATAGGACCTCTCTCATATTCTATCTTATCGTATCTAAACTCATAGTCATGTATGTCCTCTAACCATCTCATGACACTTTCCAAACCACTTTTATCGGATGTAAAGTAAAAGCATGGATGGTTATGTACAACGTCTAAAGTTTCTAAAGAGTCTCTCAAAGTCCAGTCTACTTGGTATTGAAAATCATATGTGTTATAGAACGGCGGGTCTACTATAAAGAAAACATTTTCCTTGTCTTTATATTTTTCATACAACTCTGTCCAACGACATCTCACAAACTCTATACCCTCAGTATATTTTTCTATGTCCTCTTTGAAAACATTTGTATAGTTAAGATATAAAACTTTTGACATAAGTGTTTCAATGTCATGAACTCTTATAGAACCACTATACAATAGTCTAGAAGATATACTATCCCAGTCAATATACTCTGCTTTTTTCAAAACCTCTCTGACAGTATTTTTCTTATCTAATGGTATACGTTCCATCTTACCTATAGGTATCTTTTCTTTTAACTCTTTCAATATTTTGTTTGTGTCTGGTATATGTTTGAGACGGTTCATATAGTTGTCGAAGTCATTGCATATAATCTTTGAGTCAGGAAATACAGTATGGCACAAATGAGATATATAGAAACTTCCACCGAACAAATCTACAAATGTTAGACCATTCGGTAGTTTCTTAAGTTCTCTCAATAGAATATCTTTACATCTACTCTTATTTCCAAAGAAGGGTAACGGTGGTTTTGTAAAATTCATTTTATATATATATAATAAAAATGTTTTTACCTGAAAAGTGACAGAAAAGTGACAAAACATGAAAACATATATAATTTGTGAAAAGCTCCTGGAAGACCCGTATATAAGAACTTCATTTATACTAAACATCTTCAGGGGCTAGAGGGGCGCAGCCCTGGAAGCCCCACTACCTTTTTTTTTTTTTTTTTTTTTTTTTTTTTTTTTTAGATTCTTGCAAATCATCAAAAATAATTGTATTTTAAAAAACGATCAAATTATCCTTTCATTATTTTAAACTTAAATTAGTTTTTATGATTGACTAAAGCAATCATATTTATTCATCATTAAATAAACAAAAAAATAATATTTGAGAGTTATTTCAAAAAAAACACATTGAATTTATTCATTTGTCTCAATTTCAGTATTATAAATTTTTATAATTTCAATATTTTGAAATACACTTTTTAATATTTCAATATTTATGATATTTCAATGTATTAAGTGGTCTCAAATTGAGCTTCTCAAATATAAGTTGGCCTATTCAAATAATAAAATTAAATAATATTTAAAATAATAAATAAAAGTGATTGAGGTCATAGCAAAACGGCTGTTTCAGTCATTAATTCTTAAAAATAAAAAGGGTAAAAACTAAATAAAATGGGTAAAATTCAATAGTGTCTGTGCTATCGTTCAATTTGAAGGTGTCTTTTGAAACCGCAAGACACATTGAATTTTTGAATAGTGTATTATGGTTTGACAGACACCAATGAAAAAAATAAAATGATATTTATTTTAAATATATAAGATCCTTATATAAAATATAAATATTTTATCGTTTCATTTTCTTGTTTTAGAAATGTTTTTTATTGAAAAATCAATAAAACTAACTCCAAAATAAAATTTTTGATTTAAAGACACTATGATGACACCAGGCAAATCTTCCAAGACACCTATCGTCGGGAATCTAACAACCCTAATTTCTATCGAACTTACTCCAAGCAAAAATAACTTAGTCATTGCACCAACACAAGACCCATTCACTCTTACAGAAGTAGTGGGAACAAATAAAATGTCATTCGCCGACTTTTGCAAAAACAAAGTTGACTTAGACTTTGGTTTCTCAAACCTCAACACTGAAGTAAACTATTATTTCAATGCTGCTGGAGATGCTTGGGACCCAGTTAAGTTCACATGCGAAAAGTTTGAATGCAAGAGAATAGAAAGCAGACTTGCAGTCTATATGTTGGACCCAGATATTTCAAATGCTTTAGCTGCCAAATATATTGCAGTTCCACTTATGTTCCCTATACACCAAATATCTGTCAAAGACTTTGCAGGTGAAGTTGGAAACCAAAGTGCTGACCCAGGTGCAAGAACAGATATTGCTTTAACAACTGCAATGAAACATGCAGATACTATGTTTGTACTGTTCAGACGAACTATAAATGACTATTCTTGCTTCTACAACCCTGGTATTAAATACCATATAAACATAGATGGCAAATATTATCCAAGAGAAGAATATTCTACAGTTGAGGATATGAGGTCATACAACTTGACATTAGATGCTATGAACTTTAACAACAACTTCACAACAACCATTAACCCTGAAATGCAAAGTTCTATTATGCCATATGTGAAAGTATGGACTCATACAGGAGGTCAAAAAACTCAATATACAAATGGAGACCGTTCAAACTTTTGGCTTGGCATTCCATTTGCTGACTCAGAAGACTTTATGGGTGGTATTTCAACTGTTGGTACAGTTCAAATACAATATACTGGTGACAGAGACGGTCCAGATGAATTGAGAGCAAAGAAGTTTACAAAACCAATAGCACTTTTCACGGAAGATGCTCTTTTGAAGATTCGTTCGATGAAACCTGCTGGGGCTCCTCAGATTGGCATAACGACAGCTTCCATCGAGCAGATTTTGGCAGCAGGTCAGTAAGTTGTTCTTGAACTGACTTCTCTCCGTCAAATATTGACAGTACGCCAGTTTTGACATAATATTGTAAGATAAACTTTCCTTTAGAAATATCGGTCAGTTTTGTTGTTATATTTTTGTCTGCTTCAAGAACTTTCACCATTTCAGTTATACCAACTTTCTTTGCTTATGAAAATATTTTGGTTCAGCAAATATTGCTATTCTATAACATTTTCCATTGTTTGTATAAAGAACTATTCTGTCAATGAACTTGTATTGTTTGTGTGTGTAAACTTTGTTCTGCTTCAATTCGAAGAGATACTCAAATACGTCCATCTTTTTATTCTAAGTAAAATGTCATTTCCGAAAAATAGAAGCGTAAGTGTTTCAAAAGGTTTAATGGCGATGGCAGATGTGAAGTTAAATTCACCAACTCAAACAAACAGTCAAAGTGTTGTTGTCAATGTCAAAGAAAGAGATGTTGAAGTGGGGAAACCATACGAAGACGAAGATGGTATAACAATAGTTCCTGTAAAAGAACAACCAACATACCCTGAAGTTAGCAGAGACTTAAGTTCTGTTGCAGATATTCGAAAACGACTACAAGACAAACTTAAAACAAACTTAAAACTCAGGAGAAGATTTGT